AAGTTTGACTCGAGGAAATCGAGCCACCGAATCTGTCGTGGGTTGAGGTGGGGCTGTGCGCGGAGGTACTGTAGTGATCGGTGGTCTGTCCGTACTGTCACGTCTGCGCCGGTCAAGTAGCAGCGCCACACTTTGAACGCATGCACGATCGCGAGCATTTCGCGGTCGTGTATCGGGTAATTTCGCTCGGGCGGATGCAGTTTTCGTGACTCGTATGCGATGGGCTGTAGGCCGTTGCCGAAGTCCTGTAGTAGTACGGCTCCAATGGCGATGTCGCTTGCGTCGGTAACAACCTCGAAGGGGCGGTGTGGGTCGGCGATGCGCAGGACGGGCGGTGAACAGAGAACATTTTTCACGGCAGAGAAGGCAGCATGCTCTTTCTCCCCCCACGTAAAAGCGACCCCCTTTCGCAGTAAATCCGTCAGCGGGGCAGTCAACTGTGCCATGTCGGGGACGAACCGACGAACATAATTAACGAACCCTAAAAAACTCTGCAGTTCCGTGATGTTTGTCGGGGGACGCCACGCTTTTACCGTATCCAGCTTCTTTGGGTCGATTTCAACTCCAGCCTCCGAAATAACGTGCCCCAAAAATTCTAGTCTGTCCCGAAAAAACTCGCACTTAGAGCCCTTGGTGAGTAACCGATGTTCCTCTAAAACTTTAAATACTGCTTCGAGATCCGCTAAGTGCTGCTGCTTGTCGCGACTGTAGACGAGGATGTCGTCGAGGTAAACTATCACGCATTTATCTAAGAGTGGCCTAAACGCCTCGTTCATGGTCATCTGAAATGTTGCGGGCGCGTTGGTCAGCCCGAAAGGCATCACCGTGTACTCAAACGACCCGTACCTAGTCCTAAATGCTGTCTTGGCGCAGTCCGATGGTTCGACCCGAATCTGATTGTAACCCCCTCGTAAGTCTATTTTCGAAAACACCCGTGCTGTTCGCAGTTGGTCGATCAGTTCGTCGGCGCGGGGAATGGGGTACCGCGATTTGAGTGTTACCCTGTTGAGCGCTCGGTAATCGATGCACATGCGAAACCCTCCGTCTTTTTTCGGTGTGCACAGTATCGGTGCGGCGAACGGTGACGAACTTGGTCGAATAAACTGCTTCTCTAACAAATAATCTAACTGCTTCCTCAGTTCGTCGAGCTCGGGCTGTGTCAGTCTGAACTGGCGCTGTACAGTTGGCTGTGCCCCCGGTTCTAACTCGATCCTATGATCATGCGCTCGCTGAGGTGGCAGCCCTTCCGGTAAGTCGTCTGGAAAAATCCCCGGGTACCGTTTCAACAGTTCCTGTAGTTCGAGCGGTACTGCTGCCAACAGTTTCTGAAAATCGCTCGGCTGCTCCGCTTCTCCTACTAATGCTATATCTACTGCGTACACGTCAGCTCCAGCGGCGACAACCCGTTTCATCGTGATGGCGTTGACGTGGACCGTCGAGGACTCGGGCGACTGCCAGCGAGGTAGCATGACCCAGTTACCGCTACTTCGCACAGTGCAGCTACCCGTCGTCCAGTCGATTCGTGGGTTGTACCGTCGTAGCCAATCACGGCCCAGCAAAACATCATGCCCATCCAATGTCGTCGCGAGCATTTCCTGTGTAAACCCGAAGTTTCTCTCGCAGCGAACTTTTACTCTCTCCACCTTCTCCCGTATGGCCAGCGGCGTGCCATCAACTAAGCGTGCGTCGATCTCAGGTAAGCAGCGACTAAGTGTCAGTTGTAATTTTCGCGCAGTTGCGGTATTAACTAAACTGTGGCTTGCTCCTCCGTCAATAAAAATCTTCACTGCTGCTCCCTGTATTTTCCCGTGGATCAGTACTGGGCAATCCGTCGTTGTACCCTCCTTATTCATCCGAGCCCGATCGATGGCGTGAATCGGTACTGTGACTCGGTGAGGGTCGGTGCGGTTGGGCGAGCAGGCAGTCTCGTCAGTAGTTGGCCCAACTTCTACTGACTGCTGGCGTTTCCCTGCCTCTGAGACTCCCTCCCCTGCTCTGCTCCGCGGCGCCTTAGCTCCTCTGGGCATTCGCTCTTGCGATGGCCCGGCCTGTTGCAAGCAAAGCAGCGCCCCTTAAACGGTGCGGCAGCTGCATTCGTTGCAACAGCGTTTACAGTGGCGTGCTCGATCGGTCCCCGAGGACGATGTCCGTAGTAGGACCCCGGTCTCGGTCGGCGTAGAATGTCGATTTTCTCGGCGAGCGCGAGAATCTCGTTGAAGTTTGAGAGTCCGCGCAGCATGATTTCGTGCGAGATATCCGGCTTCAGCCCTCCGACGTAACGGTCCATCCGCTCCGCTTCGTGCATGTAGCCGACCTGCTCGCAAAGTGCGAGAAAACCGCTCGTGTAATCTTGAACCGACCCGAGCTGCCGCCAAGTGCGCAATCTCTGACGCGCCGAAATAGAAGCCGCGATCGGCTCGAAGCGCGCCCGAAGCCCTGCGCACCACGCATCCCACGTGCTATATTGGGCGGTCTCGCAGAATGAACTCCAGGTGACAGCTGGACCCGTGGGCCCTTCCTCTTGTGACGGTGGCTCGTAGGCGCGTGGCGACGTCACGATGACGCGCCACCAGTCCATGGCGGGGCCCCTTAACAGCGAAACGGCATACCGAATCTTCGCTGCGTCCGACTCGACGTAATTCGCGTCGAAGAAGACGTTCATCGTGAAAACCCACGATTGAACCGTCGGACCTCCACGCTGGCTCGGGTCGAAACAGGACGGGCGTTGCGGCTTGAGTGGCATTGGTGCCATGATGGCCTGTTCGCCGCTTGTCGCCGCGAACTCCACATGCCGACGGGCTTCGCGAGGCTCCCGCGGGCTTGGCGCGCCCCTGTTTCCTCCCATGCCAGGCATTGGTTGGGCGGCGCTATCACTGGCTGCGCCCGAGCGCTGTCCCACGCTGTCGTGTTGTGTTGGTGTCCCGGACGAGATGACGATTGGCTTGTCCGATTGTGCAGGTGCATTTGTTGGTGCGTGTGGTGCTGCTGGAGTGTTCACCGTTGATTGCTGACGCGCGGAGTCACGTTCCGCTGTGAGCATCGCAATTTCGAGCGCCTAATCTTCGAGTTGGCGCACCAGACGGTCGAGCTGCTCCTGCGTCAACGTGGCGAGCGTGAATTCGGCCATGGCGGGGGTGTCGGGCGAGCTCAGCGAGAGCCTCAGTTGTGGCCGTGCGTGCTTACGAGAGAGCACTACGAGCGGCGGTGCTGTGTCGCTGAGAGACGTCTACCCCCCCCAAAAAATGAGATAGTGGGGAAGCGAAGGTGTGGGTGCGGTCCGAGAAGAGATCGTAGGCTCTGAATACCGAGTGTTACGAGTGCAATTGAGTGAACGAACGAGAATTGCACTATCGAAGCAAGAGTACAATGAGCGAAGGCATGAGCGAAGAATATATAGCGAAACTACAGTGGTAACGGTAATGGACTGTGGTTGTCGCGCGACGGGCCTGGGACTGAGGTTGGGAAAAGTGTCGAAGCGGAGGCCCGGAGCGCGGGTTACCCGCCGAGCCGTGAGGTCAGGGTGCGAAGGTGGCGGGCGGATTGTCGATGCGAGGCTTGCGAGTGGTAACGGTGCTGACTGTGGTGCTACAGTGATGTACGCGTTGAGCAGGGACGCGAAGTAAGGAAAAAGAGATTTTCCTTATAGAAGATCAATCAACGCGCCCACTTCCAGCAGAACCCTGAGTCCAAGCTGTGCCAGCGAACCAGCCTGCCCAGCCAAGCCGCTCGCTGCGGCTGCACCCGACGAGCTTCTTCCGAGCCTCAGCTCCGGCCCGAGTGAGCTCTGACCCCTCTCGGACTTTGCTTGGGTGCGGTTAGGGTTTCATCTCTCGGTCCGCCCTGCCTCCCGCCTCCCGCCCGCCTCTCATCCCCCGGCAACGCTCTGCTTGGCAGGCACTCGTGTCCCATTATTGACATCTCTAATCTCACACTCGATTCACCCTAATCCGTGAGGCATTTTCACGGTCTAAACCTGAATAGGCATGGGCTAGGGAAGCGCGCTGCGATGCAGGGATTCCCGGCGCATGTTCGCGAATGCAGTGAAGGTGTCAGCCAAGGCGGGCACGAGGTGCTGACGTGGACCCGATGCGTGTGCGGGCGGTCCTCGGACTCCGGGCACGATCTTCGTTTCCAGGTTGCTTCGTGCGATTCTTGAGCAGCGCGTGCTCGTAGCTGCGTCGTTCGCAAGAGCACCATCGCCTCGCGCGCATCGCTTCGCGAGCAGTAGCAGCAGCGGCAGCTCTTCTCGTCCCGTCTCGTATCGTATCGTATCGTATCGTATCGAATTGAGTCGTCTGCGCCATTCGTCCGCCATGGCCTCCTCCAGCGTTCTCGAATCCGTAAGTTCCGCCGCCACTGGTTCTCTCGCGCGCCCGTGGACCCGATTGCCCTCTTGTCGCGCAATCGTTTGCTCGCGGCTCGCACTGGTTTATCGCGCGCGCTCGTATGGTCGCCACGTGAACCATCTCACACGGCCGTTTTGCGTCCGTCCCTCTCATCCCGCGCGCCCCTCTCCTCTCGCCCTTCTTGTCGGTTCCCCCGCACGCGCCTCCGCCGCCCTCCGTTCCGCTTGTTCAAGTTTTTGAAAGTCCCCACGTTCCGATCTGCTCTCGCCTTTCCCCCATCTTGCCTCGTTTTCTCGCGACGCGAGTTGAAGCAATTGTAGCGCCATTAGCATGCGGCGGTCGTCGCGCCATTGCTCGACCACTGCCAATGAGTCATCTCTACCCAATTGATTTCCGCACGACCGTGTCTCGTTCTCCGCCGCGGCCCGCCTTTCGCTTGCCTGCGCTGGGGGACGATCGCACGGTCGACTTGCTGTCTCTCTCTCGCATCTGCATAGGACTCTCAGTTGCGTAATCGTCCACGCGCAAAGGGTCTCTCTTTAGATCCGCGCGTGTATAAGTGCGCGAATGCATGCCTTGCTCGTCTGCGCGCATCTTCCCTGTCGAGACGCGCGGGAAAATCTTGCAATTGTGCGCGCCCTCGCTGCGCACCCTATGCCTCCGCATGTGCGAATGCGGAACAGCCCGCCCCCTGCTCCCCCGCGCGTCCGCGCGCTGCAGCATGCGGAGGCGCAAGAAGATGTAACGCGCGCATTTACATGCGGCGCGCACGTCCGTTCCCCGCGTCTCTTCATTACGCTGCCCAAGCGGACTGCCGGTGTCCCCATGCGCCCGTTCCCCCCCTCTCCTCCCCCCCCCGCCCTCTCCCCCGTGCCCCCCGTGCCCCCCGTGCCCCCCGTGCCGCGCAGGACGACTTCATGGGTCGGCTGACGGCGGCGCTGGGCGATCTGCAGCACCGCTTTCAGGGCTCCGTCACCAACGTCTCGCTAGGTCCGCTCCCGCGCCCGCCTCCCCGCCCCTCCGCCCATCCCCTTCTCCGCACACTCCAGCGCTCCCTCTATTTTCCATTCTATTCTGTTCCTCGCCTTTCGTCCCCCACCTGCACCCGCTCGACCCGCGCCTGTTGTGGAAGGCGCAAGGCGCCGTTGGAGAAGGCATTGCGCGCGCGCAGTGCAGCTTAAGTGCTTAATGTTATTGCGCTTCAACCGTATCTGCTCCCCGTGTTCGCGCGCGCCTTGCGCCGTGCCGTGCCGTGCCGTGCCGTGCCGTGCCGTGCCGTGCCGTGCTGTGCATGCGTGGCAGGTCCGCTGTACGGCGAGTACGGCACGTTCCTCCCCACGCACGTCACGCCGTCGGGGGCTGCTGCCGCGCCCTCCGCGCGAGACGCATCCCGCGGCGGGGGGACAACGGCAGGAGCAGGCGGGGCAGGGGGTGGAGCTGGTAATCCAGGCGCGGCGGGAGCGGGTGGGGCGGCGGGAGGGGCGGGGGCGGCAGGCGGCGGCGAGAATGGCGGGAAGGACGGTGCGGTGGGCGGTCGGGCGGACGGAGGCGCGGAGGCGGGCGATGGCGGCCAGTCGGCGCGCAGCGAAGGCGACTGCATGCAGGTGCTGCGCGCCGCCCCTCTCGCGCTCGCTCGATTGCCATGCCGCTCTCTTCTTCCTTCCTACCCCATCCTCCCTCCCTCGTCCCTTTTCCCCCCCGCCCTCCCTCTTTCTCGTCCTTTTCGTTGAAACCCCCCTCCCCCCCACACCCGTTCCGCTGACTCTTGTGCAAAGCGCACTCTTGTGCAAAGCGCACAAAGCGCACTCTTGTGCAAAGCGCACTCTTGTGCAAAGCTCACGCACCTCCGCGCCCCAACCCCACGTGCTCCACCCCCCCGTTCCCCGGCCCCCCGGTGCCCCATCCCTCACTGCGCGCGCCCGCAGGTCATCCCGCTGCTGGAGGCGGACATGGGGCCGTCGGGCGTGCTGGCAGTGGCGCGCAGCAGCGTGCCCGCCGCCATCCCCGGGCCCTCTGCCGCGTGGCTGCGCGAGCAGCAGCACAGCCACAGCCACGCGCACCACCACCACCACCACAGCCACCCCGCGGACGCCGCGGACGGCGGGGAAGGGGCGGAAGGGGCGCGCGGGGAGCGGCGTGACGGGTCAGGCGGGGGGGACGGGAGCGGGGACTCGGGGGAGGGCGAGGAGGAGGGGATTATGGAGGGGCGGCGCGGGGGCGCGGGCGGCAGGGAGCAGGACGGGCGGAAGGGGGAAAAGACTGGGGGGAGTGGGAAGGGGAAGGGGAAGGGCAGCGGGGCGAAGGGGGGCGTGCGGTCAGTGAAAATCAAGCTGGGCGGGCGGGCCGTGGCGCGGGAGGGCGCGGGCAACGGGGCGGGGGGCGGAGGAGGCAGCAGTCCGGGCAGGAGCGGGGGCGGCGAGTGGGGGGACGAGAAGCGGAGGCGGCGAGGGCGAGGGCGAGAGGAGGGCGTGGCAGGGCGGGCGAGGAGCGAGGCGTGGGACATGAGTCTGGACGACATTCATGGGGTGAGTCTGAGTCTGAGTCTGAGTCTGAGTCTGAGTCTGAGTCTGAGTCTGAGTCTGAGTCTGAGTCTGAGTCTGAGTCTGAGTCTGAGTCTGAGTCTGAGTCTGAGTCTGAGTCTGAGTCTGAGCCTGAGTCTGAGTCTGAGTCTGAGCCTGAGCCTGAGTCTGAGTCTGAGCCTGAGTCTGAGTCTGAGCCTGAGTCTGAGCCTGAGCCTGAGCCTGAGTCTGAGCCTGAGTCTGAGTCTGAGTCTGAGTCTGAGTCTGAGTCTGAGCCTGAGTCTGAGTCTGAGTCTGAGTCTGAGCCTGAGTCTGAGTCTGAGCCTGAGTCTGAGTCTGAGCCTGAGTCTGAGCCTGAGCCTGAGCCTGAGCCTGAGCCTGAGCCTGAGCCTGAGTCTGAGTCTGAGTCTGAGCCTGAGTCTGAGCCTGAGCCTGAGTCTGAGTCTGAGTCTGAGTCTGAGCCTGAGCCTGAGCCTGAGCCTGAGTCTGAGTCTGAGTCTGAGCCTGAGTCTGAGCCTGAGTCTGAGCCTGAGTCTGAGTCTGAGTCTGAGCCTGAGCCTGAGTCTGAGTCTGAGTCTGAGTCTGAGCCTGAGTCTGAGTCTGAGTCTGAGTCTGAGTCTGAGCCTGAGTCTGAGTCTGAGCCTGAGTCTGAGCCTGAGCCTGAGCCTGAGCCTGAGTCTGAGTCTGAGTCTGAGTCTGAGCCTGAGCCTGAGTCTGAGTCTGAGCCTGAGCCTGACCTGAGTCTGAGTCTGAGCCTGAGTCTGAGTCTGAGCCTGAGTCTGAGCCTGAGTCTGAGTCTGAGCCTGAGTCTGAGTCTGAGTCTGAGTCTGAGTCTGAGCCTGAGTCTGAGTCTGAGCCTGAGCCTGAGCCTGAGCCTGAGCCTGAGCCTGAGCCTGAGTCTGAGTCTGAGTCTGAGTCTGAGTCTGAGTCTGAGTCTGAGTCTGAGTCTGAGTCTGAGTCTGAGCCTGAGCCTGAGCCTGAGCCTGAGTCTGAGCCTGAGCCTGAGCCTGAGCCTGAGCCTGAGCCTGAGCCTGAGCCTGAGTCTGAGTCTGAGTCTGAGCCTGAGCCTGAGCCTGAGCCTGAGCCTGAGCCTGAGCCTGAGCCTGAGTCTGAGCCTGAGTCTGAGCCTGAGTCTGAGCCTGAGCCTGAGCCTGAGCCTGAGCCTGAGCCTGAGCCTGAGCCTGAGCCTGAGCCTGAGTCTGAGTCTGAGTCTGAGCCTGAGCCTGAGCCTGAGCCTGAGCCTGAGCCTGAGCCTGAGCCTGAGTCTGAGCCTGAGCCTGAGCCTGAGTCTGAGCCTGAGCCTGAGCCTGAGCCTGAGCCTGAGCCTGAGCCTGAGCCTGAGCCTGAGCCTGAGCCTGAGCCTGAGTCTGAGCCTGAGCCTGAGTCTGAGTCTGAGTCTGAGTCTGAGTCTGAGGCTGAGTCTGAGTCTGAGTCTGAGTCTGAGTCTGAGTCTGAGTCTGAGTCTGAGCCTGAGCCTGAGCCTGAGCCTGAGCCTGAGCCTGAGCCTGAGTCTGAGTCTGAGTCTGAGTCTGAGTCTGAGTCTGAGCCTGAGCCTGAGCCTGAGTCTGAGTCTGAGCCTGAGCCTGAGCCTGAGCCTGAGCCTGAGCCTGAGCCTGAGCCTGAGCCTGAGCCTGAGCCTGAGCCTGAGCCTGAGTCTGAGTCTGAGTCTGAGTCTGAGTCTGAGCCTGAGCCTGAGCCTGAGCCTGAGCCTGAGCCTGAGCCTGAGTCTGAGCCTGAGCCTGAGTCTGAGCCTGAGTCTGAGTCTGAGCCTGAGCCTGAGCCTGAGCCTGAGCCTGAGCCTGAGCCTGAGCCTGAGCCTGAGCCTGAGCCTGAGTCTGAGTCTGAGTCTGAGTCTGAGCCTGAGCCTGAGCCTGAGCCTGAGCCTGAGCCTGAGCCTGAGCCTGAGCCTGAGCCTGAGTCTGAGCCTGAGTCTGAGTCTGAGCCTGAGCCTGAGCCTGAGCCTGAGCCTGAGCCTGAGCCTGAGCCTGAGCCTGAGCCTGAGCCTGAGCCTGAGCCTGAGCCTGAGCCTGAGCCTGAGCCTGAGCCTGAGCCTGAGCCTGAGCCTGAGCCTGAGCCTGAGCCTGAGCCTGAGCCTGAGCCTGAGCCTGAGCCTGAGCCTGAGCCTGAGCCTGAGCCTGAGCCTGAGCCTGAGCCTGAGCCTGAGCCTGAGTCTGAGTCTGAGTCTGAGTCTGAGCCTGAGCCTGAGCCTGAGCCTGAGCCTGAGCCTGAGCCTGAGTCTGAGCCTGAGCCTGAGCCTGAGTCTGAGTCTGAGTCTGAGCCTGAGCCTGAGCCTGAGCCTGAGCCTGAGCCTGAGCCTGAGCCTGAGCCTGAGCCTGAGCCTGAGTCTGAGTCTGAGTCTGAGCCTGAGCCTGAGCCTGAGCCTGAGCCTGAGCCTGAGCCTGAGCCTGAGCCTGAGTCTGAGTCTGAGTCTGAGTCTGAGCCTGAGCCTGAGCCTGAGCCTGAGCCTGAGCCTGAGCCTGAGCCTGAGTCTGAGCCTGAGCCTGAGCCTGAGCCTGAGCCTGAGCCTGAGCCTGAGCCTGAGCCTGAGCCTGAGCCTGAGCCTGAGCCTGAGCCTGAGCCTGAGCCTGAGCCTGAGCCTGAGCCTGAGCCTGAGCCTGAGCCTGAGCCTGAGCCTGAGCCTGAGCCTGAGCCTGAGCCTGAGCCTGAGCCTGAGCCTGAGCCTGAGCCTGAGCCTGAGCCTGAGCCTGAGCCTGAGCCTGAGCCTGAGCCTGAGCCTGAGCCTGAGCCTGAGCCTGAGCCTGAGCCTGAGCCTGAGCCTGAGCCTGAGCCTGAGCCTGAGCCTGAGCCTGAGCCTGAGCCTGAGTCTGAGTCTGAGTCTGAGTCTGAGCCTGAGCCTGAGCCTGAGCCTGAGCCTGAGCCTGAGTCTGAGTCTGAGTCTGAGTCTGAGCCTGAGCCTGAGCCTGAGTCTGAGCCTGAGCCTGAGCCTGAGCCTGAGCCTGAGCCTGAGCCTGAGCCTGAGCCTGAGCCTGAGCCTGAGCCTGAGCCTGAGCCTGAGTCTGAGCCTGAGCCTGAGCCTGAGTCTGAGTCTGAGCCTGAGTCTGAGTCTGAGCCTGAGTCTGAGCCTGAGCCTGAGCCTGAGCCTGAGCCTGAGCCTGAGCCTGAGCCTGAGCCTGAGCCTGAGCCTGAGCCTGAGTCTGAGCCTGAGCCTGAGCCTGAGTCTGAGTCCTGAGCCTGAGCCTGAGCCTGAGCCTGAGCCTGAGCCTGAGCCTGAGCCTGAGCCTGAGCCTGAGCCTGAGCCTGAGCCTGAGCCTGAGCCTGAGCCTGAGCCTGAGCCTGAGCCTGAGCCTGAGCCTGAGCCTGAGCCTGAGCCTGAGCCTGAGCCTGAGCCTGAGCCTGAGCCTGAGCCTGAGCCTGAGCCTGAGCCTGAGCCTGAGCCTGAGTCCTGAGTCCTGAGTCTGAGTCTGAGCCTGAGCCTGAGCCTGAGTCTGAGCCTGAGCCTGAGCCTGAGCCTGAGCCTGAGCCTGAGCCTGAGTCTGAGCCTGAGCCTGAGCCTGAGCCTGAGTCTGAGCCTGAGCCTGAGCCTGAGCCTGAGCCTGAGCCTGAGCCTGAGCCTGAGCCTGAGCCTGAGCCTGAGCCTGAGCCTGAGCCTGAGCCTGAGCCTGAGCCTGAGCCTGAGCCTGAGTCTGAGTCTGAGTCTGAGTCTGAGTCTGAGTCTGAGCCTGAGCCTGAGCCTGAGCCTGAGCCTGAGCCTGAGCCTGAGTCTGAGCCTGAGTCTGAGTCTGAGTCTGAGTCTGAGTCTGAGCCTGAGCCTGAGCCTGAGTCTGAGCCTGAGTCTGAGTCTGAGTCTGAGTCTGAGTCTGAGCCTGAGCCTGAGCCTGAGCCTGAGCCTGAGCCTGAGCCTGAGCCTGAGCCTGAGCCTGAGCCTGAGTCTGAGTCTGAGTCTGAGCCTGAGCCTGAGCCTGAGCCTGAGCCTGAGTCTGAGCCTGAGTCTGAGTCTGAGCCTGAGCCTGAGCCTGAGCCTGAGTCTGAGCCTGAGCCTGAGTCTGAGCGTGAGCCTGAGCCTGAGCCTGAGCCTGAGCCTGAGCCTGAGCCTGAGTCTGAGCCTGAGTCTGAGTCTGAGTCTGAGTCTGAGTCTGAGCCTGAGCCTGAGCCTGAGTCTGAGCCTGAGTCTGAGCCTGAGCCTGAGTCTGAGCCTGAGCCTGAGCCTGAGCCTGAGTCTGAGTCTGAGCCTGAGCCTGAGCCTGAGCCTGAGTCTGAGCCTGAGCCTGAGCCTGAGCCTGAGTCTGAGCCTGAGTCTGAGCCTGAGCCTGAGCCTGAGCCTGAGTCTGAGTCTGAGCCTGAGTCTGAGTCTGAGCCTGAGCCTGAGTCTGAGTCTGAGCCTGAGCCTGAGCCTGAGCCTGAGTCTGAGCCTGAGTCTGAGTCTGAGTCTGAGCCTGAGTCTGAGTCTGAGCCTGAGTCTGAGTCTGAGTCTGAGTCTGAGTCTGAGTCTGAGTCTGAGTCTGAGTCTGAGTCTGAGTCTGAGCCTGAGCCTGAGTCTGAGTCTGAGTCTGAGTCTGAGTCTGAGTCTGAGTCTGAGTCTGAGTCTGAGTCTGAGTCTGAGTCTGAGTCTGAGTCTGAGTCTGAGTCTGAGTCTGAGTCTGAGTCTGAGTCTGAGTCTGAGTCTGAGTCTGAGTCGCTCACACTGCGCGGCCTGCTCGCCCCCTCTCACCTCACCACCTCGCCCTCCCACCCTCGCACGCACCCAGCATCGCCCTTGCCTGCTCGCCCCGCTCCCTTGCCCTGCCGCCATGCATGCACCTCGCGTTCTCTCCACTCCACCGGTCGCTCCGCCCCTTGTTTTTTCCCTTAAATTTGGCGGCTTTGACTAAACCTCCCTCCCTTCCCCACTCCTCCCTCCGTGTGCCCTCCCTTGCCCCGCCCCCACCGTTCACTGTATCGCGTGCGTGTGTGCGTGTCTGCGTGCGTGGCAGCTGCTGACGGCGCACGTGGCTGTGAAGCTGCTCTCGCCGCTAGCCTCGCTCCTCACGCCGCCGCCTCACCAACCTTCCGTCTTCCCGCCCCCCCTCTCGCCCCCTCCGCTCAACCCTGCGCGCTCCGCGCCGCCCCCGCCCGCGCGCGCCAATGGCGTGCATGCGCCAGGGCGCGCGGAGGCGCAGGCAGGGGCGGAGGGGAAGGGGAAGAGGGACGCGGGGCACAGCGGGTCCGCGCAGGGCGTGGGCGCTGGGAGGGACGAGGGGCGGAGGGGGGACGAGGGCGCAAGGCACAGGCAGTGGCGGCTGTCGCCCACAGGCGCAGCGCAGCAAGCGCAAGGGCGGGGGGGTAGCGGAGGCAGTGGCAGTGGCAGCGGCGTGAGGGGGTCCGTGTCTCCCCCTCCTCGTAGCCGCCTCGCCTCCCGCTCTGCCAGCCCTGCGTCTCGCGCCAGGCTAGGCACGCCAGACGGCGCGGGCTACAGCCCCGGTTTACCCGCGAAAAAGGAGGGCGGTGGTGGGGTTTCTGGGCGGAAGTCAGGCGGGGGCAGTGGGGGGAAGGAGAGGGGGCTGGAGGAGGAGGGTGGCACAGGGGGGAAGGACGGGAAGGGCGCACGGGAGGGCGGGGATAAACCGGTGGAGGTGAGGAGTGAAGGGAGCAAGAAGCGGGGGAAGGGGACGGATGCGGTCCAGGGGAAGGGCGGAGGGACAGGGGCGCGGGATGGCGGTGGCGCGTGGGCCGGCGGCAGCAAGGATGGCGCGCGGGGGAAGGCGCAGGGGGGGGAGCAGGGCGAGGCGAGGGCGGAGAGGGGGGTGGTGGGTGCGGCGGAGAAAGAGAGCGAGCGGGCGGCGGTGGGTGGTGGCGGCGAGGTGCGTGAGGGGAAGGAGAACGGCGCGTGGGGCAACGGCGTTCCCAGTGGGTCCGGGTCAGAGGAGGCGGGCGGGGAGAGGTGGAGGGAGAAGGAGGGTGCGAGGTGGCGTGGTGAGGGCAGGGAGAGGGGGAGGGGCAAGGAACGGGGTGGGGAGGAGGGGAACGGGGAGGCGGGGAGGGAGGAGGGGACGAGTGATGGGGGCAAGGCGAGGGAGGGAGGGAGGGAGAAGAAGCAGCGGAAGCAGGGGAGAGAGGAGAGGGATGGCGAGGGGCAGGGCGACATGGCGAAGGGCGGTGAGAAGCGAGGCGGGGAGAAGGAGGTGAGGCGGCGGGGGGAAGGGGAGGGCGAGAGGGACGGCGAAAGGGAGGGCGGTAGGAGGGGCGCACAGGGGTGGGAGGAGCAGCGCGAGGGGGGGGGCGGCGAGAGAGGCAGGGAAGGCGCGGAGGAGGCTGAGGATGCTAGAGAGGGGGAGAGAAGAACGGGGGAGGCGGCAGGGAGTGGCATGGCGCGTGTGCTCTCACTGGCGGAGGGCGTGGGGGAGGGTGGGGCGGGCGAGGGCGCGCCAAGGGAAGCAGCGCTGCGCAATGGCCTGGTGGGGGCCGGCGCTGGGGGGAGGGGCGTGGGGAAGAAAGCATCCAAAGGGGCTGCTGCTGTGGACTCGAGTCGAGGGGGAGGGGCGACTGGTGGGGAGGGCAACGAGGAAGGGCGTGGGCGGGTGAAAGTGGAGGGGGCGTGGGAGGAGGGCGGGAGAGGGGGCAAGGTGGGTGGGCCGGGGGGGTCAAAGAAGCGAGCACGGGAGGAGTGGGACGGGGAAGGGCAGGAGGGCGATGGTATGGGTGGGCTGCCGCATGCTGCCAGCACAGGGGGACGCACGGCAGGCGGTGCATTGGGGGGCGCAGGCAAGGAGAGGACAGGGAAAGGTATCCGGGAAGGGAAGAAGGATCGTGGAAAGCAGTGGGAAGGGAAGGCGGGGAAAGGCGAGCAGGGAGTGGCGAGGGAGAGAGGGGCTGCAGGAGATGGGCCCGTCCCTGCTGCTGCCACTCCTGCTGCTGCTGCTGCTGCTGCTGCCACCGCCCCTGCACTGCCCCTGGCTGCTGCAGAAGGGTGCGGGGCGGAGCAGCTAAAGGACGACTGGGTGGGGTGCGAGGCGTGTGGCAAGTGGCGCCTGCTGCCGCCGTCCATCCAGCCCTCGTCGCTGCCAGACGAGTGGTACTGCCACATGAACACCTGGACGTGAGTGCGCTGCCTCCCACACTCCCCATGCCACCACTGCTCTCTTGCCCTCCCTCCTCCTCGCGCCTACCTGATTCCCCCCTGCCTGCCCCCATTCCCAGCTCTGCACCTGCTCCACTTTGTGAGAGGCTGTCACTGCTCATCCACATTCTGCTCTGCCCTTCCCTGTCTTTTTTTTTTTCCCCGCAGCGTTCTCATTCTCTCCCCTCTCCCCTCTCCCCTCTCCTCTCTTTCCTCTCCTCTCTCCCCTCTTTCCTCCCCCCTCTCCCCTCTTTCCTCTCCCCTCTCCTCTCTTTCCTCCCCCCTCTCCCCTCTTTCCTCTCCCCTCTCCTCTCTTTTCTCCCCCCTCTCCCTTCTTCTTCCTTCCCGCTCCCCTCTTTGCTCTCCCCTCTCCCGTCTCCCTTCTCCCCTCTACCCTCCCCCCTCTACCCTCCCCCCTCTACCCTCCCCCCTCTACCCTCCCCCCTCTACCCTCCCCCCTCTACCCTCCCCCCTATACCCTCCCCCCTCTACCCTCGCCGCTCGCCTCTCATGGCGGCGCGTCAACAGGCCTGAGTTAGCGCAGTGCGAGATACCAGAGTATCGCACGTCAGCAGCAGTCTACTACTCGCTCGGCCTGCCCTTCCCCACGCACCTCCTCCCCCCAGGCGCCACTCTCCCCCCGCCGCCGCCCTCAGTCGTCGCCGTCATGCAAGCAGCTGCTGCTGCTGCCGCTGCCGCCGCTGCTGCTGCCGGTGGTGCCGCCGCTGCTGCTGCTCCTGGTGCTGCTGTTGGTGGTGGTGCTGCTGCGGCAGTGGGTGGGGATGCGGGCGGGAAAGGAGGCAAGGCGCCGAAGCTTGGGAGGTCAGGGAGTAAGAGGAGCGTGGGGCAGGTGCAGGTTGGAGGGAAGAAAGACAAAGGGGGTGAGAAGGAGTGGAAGAAGGGAAGGGGGAAAGGGAGAGGGGAGGAGGACGACGAGTGGATGCAAGGGAAGAAGGGGTGGGGCAGGGATGAGAAGAAAAGGCAGGTGGAGGGGGAGGTGCAGGTGCGCGAGGAGAGGAGGGAGGGAGAGGCGGAGCGAAGGGAAAAGCGGAGGAGGCGAGACAGCAGTGAAGATGGTCGTAGCTTTGCTGCTGCTGCCGGTGGTGGTGCTGCTGGTGCTGGTGGTGGTGGTGGTGCTGCTGCTGCTGGTGATGGTGGCGTGGCAGGCGAAGGTGTTGTTGATGGGGGTCGGGTTGACTGGGACCGAGATATAGAGGAGATGGAGCGAGAACGCGAAAGGGAGAGAGAACGAGAAAGAGAGAGGGAACGCGAAAGGGAGAGAGAGAAGGAGAGAGAACGAGAGAGGGAGAAAGAGGGGGAGAGGGAGAGTGAACGGGAGAGAGAAAGGGAGCGTGAGGAAGGGAGGTCGAGGGAGAGGGGACGGCGTGAGGGGTTGGCAGCCGAAACAGGAGCGGGGGGGAATGGAGAGAGTCTGGGGAAGGGTGGCGACGAGAGGGTGGTTAAGGACGCAGAGGGTCTCATAGGCAGCAGGCCGGGCAGGCATGGTCGCACGGGTAGAGAGGGCCGGGATGGGAGGGATTGGAGAGAGGGGAGAGAGGGGAGGGATGTGAGGGATGGGCGGGATGGGAGGGATGGGAGGGAGGTACGCGATTGGAAGGGCAAGGAGCGGAGAGAGAGTGAGGAAGGTGGGAGGGAGGTGGGGAAGGCGAAGCAGGAGGGTGGCGTGGAGGAGCGAGGGCGAGGCGAGAGAAAGCGAGACACGGGCGAGTGGCAAGCAGGGGCGGAGGTAGGGAAGAGAGATGCGAGCAGGAGGGATGGTTGGGGGAGTGAGAGGAAGGGCGGGGACAGTGGCAAGGTGGTAGGCGAGGAGAGGGGAGCAAAGGCGGAGAGGGGGGAGGAGGAGGGCACAGAGCAGGGCGCAGGCACGGGGGTGATGGTGGGTGGTCGCGAGGCCGCAGGGGTGGGCGTGAAACAAGAGGGTGGGGGCGGCAGTGGTGGCGGTGGTGGTGCTGGCAGTGGTGCTGGCGGTGGTGCTGGGAAGCAGTCTCCACGGTCGCCAGTAGGTGTGGGCGCGCAGGGTAGGCCTGCCATCAGCATCCTCACCTCCTCCTCCTCTGCAGCTCCTGCTGTGAACGTGCCCGGGCGAATAGCTTTCTGGGAGAAGCAGGAGAAGGAAGAGAAGCAGGAGAGGCAGGAGAAGCAGGAGAAACAGGAGAGGCAGGAGAGGCAGGAGAAGTTAGCAGGGAATGCAGCGGACACAGTGCGCGCAGTGCCGCCCGTGGCCCCCGCACAGGCGTGGCCTAGCGACAAGGACAAGGCCACGCAGGGACAGCCTTCACCTCCTGTCCCTGCTGTAGGCGCACAGGCAGAGGTAGCAGCAGGGGGGGCAGGGGGAGCAGTGGGTGCAGCGGGTGCAGGCGGGGCAGCGGAGGGCGAGGAGGAAGCGCAGCAGGAGGTTGAAATGGATGTAGATGACGGGCAGGACGAGCGAGTCGTTGCCTCGCTCTCCCGCCCCTTGCCCCACGCGCACTGGCCCTCCGCGCTCCCCCCGCCTCCGCCCTCACTCCCCCCGCATCCCGCGCTCTTCCCCCCGCCTGCCGCTGCTGCAGCACCAGTGCAACCCGGAGTGGAGGGGAGAGCGTGGGAAGGCAAGGAGGAAGGGATGGGAGCAGCGGTGGTTGAGGGTGCAAGCCAGCCCGGTGTGTGGGCAGGTGCACAAGGCGCACCCCCTGCCGCCCCGTCGCCGCCCCCATCTGCCACACCTCCTCCATCTGTTCCACTTGCCTCCGCTGCTGCTTCCCAGGCTGCTCCTCTCGTGTCTCCCCTGCCCGTGCCTGCAGGTGCAGCCACAGCTGCCCCAGCAGCAGCAGCGGTGGCATCAGCAGCGGTGGATGGGGCAATAGATGTGCAAGCAGCAGCGGGCAGAGCAGGCGTGCTCACAGCACCCACTGGAGACGCCAACACACCAGCCCTCTCATCTCACCCCACACCTGCTGCTGCTGCTGCTGCTGCCACTGCTGCTGCAGCTCCCGCTTCTGCTCCTACTGCTGCTCCTGCTGCTGCTGCTGCTGCTGTCAGCACGGGCACACCAGCAGACGCCCCTTGCCCAGCCCCCACTGCAGCAACGGGCCTGGCAGTCATAGGCCTTGCTCCCGCCACACTCCCCCCACCTCCCCCCCCTCCCCCTGGGGGCCCTCCTGCCGGCGCTGCAGTGCTGGCGTCTTCCAGTGCAGTGCCGCCCGACGCCCCACCTGCCAGAACCAGCCGCCCGGTGCCGCCGAGCAGGCAGAAAGTGGGGTGGCGGGGATCGTCCAGTAGCACGAGCAGCACGACCAGCTCTACGAGTTCAGGCACAGGGTCGTCTGATACAAGCTCCTCCTGCTCCAGTCGCAGCAAGCCCTCGCACTCGCCCCTGCACTCCACACTCTCCTCCTCCCCCTCCCGCTCAGGCCCCCCCCGCTCGTCCTCTCTGCGTGCCCGTGGGGGGCGGAATGGGGAGGGGCGTGGGGGGCGCAGCAGGGGCGCGGGCAGGTCGCCTGAGGGGAGGGGAAGAGGGGGGGAGGCGGGCGAGAGGGAGCGGAAGGAGGGCACGCGTGGATGGGGCTCGGGGTATAGAGAGGACGGGGGAAGAGGAGTGGGGGGGAGAAGCAAGGAAAGGGAAGGGGGTGGGAGCAGAGGGGAGGGGAGGGGCGGGAGGGAGGAGTCGGCGCAAGGAAGAGGGAGAGGTGAGGAGAGAGGAGGAAGGTCTAGTAGAGAGGGGGAGGGAGGGGGTAGGGACAGGGATGGGGCTGGAGGGAGCGTTGGTGGGAGTGGAAGAATGTACTCCCCCTCACAGGAGAGGGGCGAGCGGGAGAAGGGGCATGATGGGTGGGATCGCAGATACAGCAGCCGGGACAGGGAGAAGGAGCGGGGCAAGGAGAGGGAGTGGGGCAGGGATCGGGATGCGGATGGGGGGAGGTACGATAGAAGGGGGAAGGACGAGCGGAGGGATGAGAGAGGAAGCAGGCGGGAGAAGGACTGGGACGGGAGGAGTGAGCGCGACAGGGAGTGGGATGACCGGGGGGCGGGGAAATCCAGGGATAAAGACAAAGACAGGGACCGGGACAGGGATTGGGAGAGAGATAGGGATAGGGACCGGGATAGGGACAGGGACAGGGACAGGGATAGGGACCGGGACCGGGATAGGGACAGGGATAGGGAGAGGGAGAGGGAGCGGGGAAGAGGGGGGCGGGAGTTGGAGCGGGACAGGAGGAGGGAGAGGACGTTTGGCGGGTCTCGAGGTGCCTTCCCGGCGTCTGCTTCATGGGCTGCTGAGAAAGACGCTGCCGATGGCCCTGCTGCTGCCACACCCGCCTCGCTCCCTCTTGTTTCCCCTACTGGCGTCCCTGCTGCCGCTGCTGCAGTAGGTGATGTTGCTCCCTCAGTGAGTGCTGCTGTGCCCCTTGCAGGCAGCAGTGAGGGCGCGACAGCAGAAGGCGTGCAGCAGGGCACGCCACTCCTGCCTGCCGCTCACCACCCGGGGGTTTTATCACCTGCGCTTGCTGCCTCTGCGCCCGCTGCTTCTGCCAGCGCTGCTGCTCCTGCTCCACTAGCACCACCACAGCATGCTGCCACAGACGCCGCACCAAAAGACATTGCTGGTGCTGCCACGGGTGCGCTTGCTGTTGCCCCTGCTCCGCGCTCTGTTGCCTCCCGCCCAGCACCCCCTCCTGCCGCCTCTCCTAGGGGGCAACGCCTCTCCGCGTTCCCTGCTGCCATCCCCGCGCCTGCCTCCGCCGCACTCACGGCTGGGGCGCTGGCAACAGGGGGGCGAGCAGCAGGAGCAGGGCAACCGGCTACAGGATATGGGGGGGGTGCGGGCTCAGGCAGTGTGGCAGGTGGTACAGCAGCGCTGGCAGCGCCTGGAGGCAGTATGTGTGTTGAAGCCCCAGTGGGGTTGGGGCCGGGGGCAGCAGTGGGTGCAGCACCAATGCACGTGCTCACTCCAGACCGTGCACTGCTGCCCGCCGCACTGCCCACTGCCCAACACGCAGACAGAGGTGTCGCAGCTGCCACAGCTGTTACAGCAACAGGGGCAGTGCCAGGGGGAGGCAGTGGCGGGGCGGTGGGGGGAGTGGGTGGTGGGGTGCGGCGGTCGATGGCTGCGGCTGTGGATGCAAGCAGCAAGAAGGTGGCACGGCAGGAGGCAGTGGATCTCAAACACATGGCAGACAAGGTGCGTGCAATGCACCTGCATGCCCGCCCGCCCCCCCGCCTGCGCTGCGCTGTGCGCCGCTGCTCTGCTTCTTTCCCTTGCTCGCTGCACCCTTCTACTGCATCCGCTGCCCGCGCTCCCTATTCCCTCCTCTTATCGCTCTCTCTCTCTCTCTCTCTCTCTCTCTCTCTCTCTCTCTCTCTCTCTCTCACACACACACACTCTCTCTTCCTCTCTCTCTTTCTCTCTCCATACCACCCTCTCTCACTCCCTCCCCCTCTCCCCCCAATGCACGGCCATGCCTGCCTATCCCACTCCTCCCTCCCCTCCCGCGTGCCACTCCTCTCCCCGGGTGCGCGCATGCCCTGTGTGTGTGTGTGTGCAATGAGAGCAGAGGACGGACAGTGTGGAGAAGGCGGATGGGTACATGAGGGCGGCTTTCAAGTTCCTCGACTCGGTTGGCTGTGACCCCTCGATCCATGCGCCCGCCCTCGCCTCGCAGGCTGCAGCTGCAGCGCGCACCCTCAATGAAACGGCCCAGCTCTTTGAGTACGTCCCCCACTGCCACTCTGCTGCTGCCGTTTCTGCCGTTTCTGCCGTTTCTGCCCGTGCTGCCCTTTCTGCCCGTGCTGCCGTTTCTGCCCGTGCTGCCCTTTCTGCCCGTGCTGCCCTTTCTGCCCGTGCTGCCCTTTCTGCCCGTGCTGCCGTTTCTGCCCGTGCTGCCCTTTCTGCCCGTGCTGCCCTTTCTGCCCGTGCTGCCGTTTCTGCCCGTGCTGCCGTTTCTGCCCGTGCTGCCCTTTCTGCCCGTGCTGCCGTTTCTGCCCGTGCTGCCGTTTCTGCCCGTGCTGCCCTTTCTGCCCGTGCTGCCGTTTCTGCCCGTGCTGCCCTTTTTGCCCGTGCTGCCCTTTCTGCCCGTGCTGCCCTTTCTGCCTGTGCTGCCCTTTCTGCCCGTGCTGCCCTTTCTGCCCGTGCTGCCCTTTCTGCCCGTGCTGCCGTTTCTGCCCGTGCTGCCGTTTCTGCCCGTGCTGCCCTTTCTGCCCGTGCTGCCCTTTCTGCCCGTGCTGCCGTTTCTGCCCGTGCTGCCCTTTCTGCCCGTGCTGCCCTTTCTGCCCGTGCTGCCGTTTCTGCCCGTGCTGCCCTTTCTGCCCGTGCTGCCCTTTCTGCCCGTGCTGCCCTTTCTGCCCGTGCTGCCGTTTCTGCCCGTGCTGCCCTTTCTGCCCGTGCTGCCCTTTCTGCCCGTGCTGCCCTTTCTGCCCGTGCTGCCGTTTCTGCCCGTGCTGCCCTTTCTGCCCGTGCTGCCCTTTCTGCCTGTGCTGCTGTTTCTGCCCGTGCTGCCCTTTCTGCCCGTGCTGCCCTTTCTGCCCGTGCTGCCGTTTCTGCCCGTGCTGCCGTTTCTGCCCGTGCTGCCCTTTCTGCCCGTGCTGCCCTTTCTGCCCGTGCTGCCCTTTCTGCCCGTGCTGCCAGCATTTAGCTGCCTCGCGATGTGTGCTCTGCTGGTGTGTGACGCGTCATCTGTGCACCACCCCACCTGCCTGTGCACCACCCCACCTGCCTGTGCACCACCCCACCTGCCTGTGCACCACCCCACCTGCCTGTGCACCACCCCACCTGCCTGTGCACCACCCCACCTGCCTGTGCACCAGCCCACCTGCCTGTGCACCACCCCACCTGCCTGTGCACCACCCCACCTGCCTGTGCACCACCCCACCTGCCTGTGCACCACCCCACCTGCCTGTGCACCACCCCACCTGCCTGTGCACCACCCCACCTGCCTGTGCACCACCCCACCTGCCTGTGCACCACCCCACCTGCCTGTGCACCACCCCACCTGCCTGTGCACCACCCCACCTGCCTGTGCACCACCCCACCTGCCTGTGCACCACCCCACCTGCCTGTGCACCACCCCACCTGCCTGTGCACCACCCCACCTGCCTGTGCACCACCCCACCTGCCTGTGCACCACCCCACCTGCCTGTGCACCACCCCACCTGCCTGTGCACCACCCCACCTGCCTGTGCACCACCCCACCTGCCTGTGCACCACCCCACCTGCCTGTGCACCACTCCACCTGCCTGTGCACCTCGCTTCTGCCTCACAGCAACCCATGCCATGACATTCTTCTCTCTTACCACCACCATTCATGCCCTTTCCGCTGCTTCTCAATCTCACGCTCCCGCAATTGAGCACCCCAGCCCACCGTCCCCTAGTGTAAGCGCGTCAATGATGTATTCTTTCCTCCATTCCCTCCCGGCGCCTCTACCCTGTGTGCACATCCGCTTCCCCGTGCCTGCTCTTCCCCGTGCCTGCTCTTCCCCGTGCCTGCTCTTCCCCGTGCCTGCTCTTCCCGTGCCCCCAGGTGTACAGGGCGGCTATACGAGGCATCGGCACTGCACGCGCCGGCAGCGCTGGCATACAAGTGTGCCGCCATCGCACGCACGCGCGCACTGGCTGCACTGCGCTCCGCCAGCAAGCGGGAGAGGCAGGACCTGCTCATGCTGGCGGACTCACACCCCCAGCCACAGCAACCTGCTGTTGCTGCTCTGCCTTCCTCCGACCACCAAGGTACACCTCGCTGAGTCGTCTTCAAGGTCACTGTTCAGTGCTCGCTGCCCACCTCAGGTTCTCTGCCCTGTGTTTGTTCCACTGCACGGCACCCTCTGGGGGCACCTATTCCCTGTCGTCTCGTCTCTCCAGCGCCCCACATCCTGCTGTTTTGCTCCATTTTCTCCCTGCATCAACTCAACTCATGCACTCTCTTCTGACCCGCCTTTGCTCCCTCCCTCCCTCCCTTGTCCTCCCCCGCCTTCCGTCCCCCTCCCCACCATCCCTCCCTCCCTCTCTTTCTCTCCCTCCCGCCCCCTTTGCGCTCTCACTCTCCCTCCCTCCCTTGCGCCCCCCCGCCCTCCCTCCCTCCGTCCCTCCCTCCCTTCCTCTCCCCCTCCCTCTCTCTCGCCCTTCCTCCCTCCCCCCCTCCCTCTCGCCCTCTCGCCCTCTCGTCCTCTCGCCCTCCCGCCCTTCCTTCCGCTCCTCTCCACTCGTCCCTGTGACACGAGCAGGTGTGAGGGCGGGAGCATCACCAGCATCATCAGCAGCATCGGACGTGGACAATGCGTCCGCCACTCTCAGGCACTCACACCACCACCACCATCACCACACACCCCTCTCAGCCTCCAATCTCATCGCCCCTGCCTCCTCCCCCTCGCCCTCTCCTGCGCCTGGAACTGCTGCTGCCGTTGCTGGTGCTGGAGCAGGGGGAGCATCGTGTGTGTGCATACCGGATCGCCTGGTGCCCAGCCTGCGCAGAGTACTCAAGGAGGTTAGCCTCTCCCGCCCTCCCTGCTGCACCCCCCTCCTCACATTCCCCTTCACTCTTCCCTCCACCTCTCCTCCCCTTATCTTCCTTACCTCTCCTTGCCTCCACTTCCCATCTCGCCCTCCCTTTGTCCGTTTCGTCCTCTCCCCCCATCCTCACGGGAGAAAACCCACCACCTGAGAGTGCTGCGTGGTGCTGCCTCCGTGCCCGCATGCCCCGTGGCCGTATGTGTGTGGACGTGTAACAGGGTAACGACATGGCAAGCATAATGGACACGTGGGGCAAGGCAGCAGCCGCGGCAGCGCATGCAATGCAGCACGCGGACGTGAGTGCGGCGGCGCTCATGAAGCTGCATGCTGTGGGGGACTGCGCCGGCATGCTGCCTGGCGACGCTGTGTGGCGCGCTGCCCTTGACGCCTTCGCCTCCATTCGCCCCTGACCGGCTGCACTCATCCACCCGCCTTCCCCGCCCCACCCCGCCACGATCCTGCGCTCTTGCGTGTCCACGTGCGCTGCACTTACTGCATTTGCCACCTGCACTGCCTGCCTGCCTGCGCGGCCCTGTCTGAGTGACGGTGATGGTGGCAGTGCGGGTGCAGGATAGCACATGCATGGTGCACCCGTCCTTCCAGACGGCGCCACGTACCTGTGCTTTTATTGGACTGGGAGGCCCTCTGCCTCTTATCTCGAGTCATGAGCCAAGCAGCCCCGCACAATACGGCCCGCCAGTGGCATGGCAAGCTGCTGGTGGAGAGGAGACAGACAGCCCTCGCTCCGCACCCAGTACTTATATCCTTCCCAGTCAACCTCGGCACTGCAGGCTGCCACTGCAGCATTCATCCACCCACTGTTCTGGACGGCTGATGGGGTGTCAGGGCGCGCAGAATACCAGCTGCAGATGAAATGCAAGGGTTCTGGGTTTAGTGAACACTGGTTTTATTATAGTGCCGTCGAGGAAGAAACACAATTCTCAGCTTTTGGGAAAATGTCAGCTCCTGCTGGTCAGTGAGCCCTGCAACTACCATAGGTCGGGGGATGCGAGGGTGGGAAGAAATTATTGGTTTTGTGCCGTATGTCCTGTTTTCCGTCTATTCTTTTTGTCTGTCAAATCAAGCCAAATGTCTGCACAACTTCTCCAAATGTCTTCCGTCTAATTGATATGAGAATGTCAATGCAGTGTAGTGGTGGTCGCCAGGGTTATATAAGAGGCGAAATTCTCGTTCTTGAGGGCTTATATAACCCCTAATACAAGGGTCATGCGTGTAGAGAATGCAAACACGCAATACATTCGATAATTGACACGGTTATCGTGACCAGAATCGACCTGAGCTGCGAAGTGTGGACCCGCCTCTAACGAAGATATGCCGGCATGCTCACTTTCTCTGCACCTACGACGCAGACAGCAGCACAAGTGCACAGAGCATGGGAGGAGGGACCTTTCTGGTTCAGGAAGAGGGGGGGGGACGATGGGTCGTACGTGTGTCCAGTACACGTGTTTCGGAAAATCAGGGGTCGTCCTCGGGCGACGAGGAGGCTTTTGCACAGAACAGAGGTTGGTTTCCCGCCAAAACTGGGTTTCATTGCTGCCAGTCCGTTACCGCTATAACGGACACTGTAATTAAAAGAGCCAAAAGGTTGATTCGGCAGATTTGGCTGGGTGTACATTTGTGATTGTTCCTGCCAGCAAAAACGGGGTTCCATCTTGAATATTGTACTCTAAAGAAGAGGAGGAAGAAACAACCTTACGTTTACTTTGCCGCCCCCCGTTTTTCCCGGGGCTTGCATTGTTTGCACCCTTGCATTGTTTGCACCCTTGCATTGTTTGCACCCTTGCATTGCTGGGAAAACCCTACGGGAATATCGGAGTTCTCATCGCTAGATTGTTTCGGGCATCATTGCCTTTACTACAAAACTGCTGCTGCTACAGCACACTTGCTAAACTGGTTCTTGTTCCGCTGGGCTCTTGTAACAAGACGAAGGCGATCTCGCCTTCCTTGATTTCGCCAACTCAGCTCCTTGTGATCCGAACCAGAATTCGGAACACACCCTAAGTGCATTTCGGGAATTCAATGTTTGAACTCCAACATTGAAATGTGCGACCCGACTTTCTGAGTTTCCAACCGTGGGAACAAAGTACGGAGAGCACACTAGTGCTGGACACAACGGGGCAGAGAACTACCTACAGCGCAGCAGATTACTTGACAGCACAAGACCCTACAGCTACGACTACTTCCAGCAGTGCCCGTACTCATCATGATCAACGACGACCTGGAAGACAACAAGACAGAGAAGTCTCTGCCCATTACATTAGTGTTTTCCTAGACTTTGCTGATTGGTTCTAGGACTACACAACAAGGCTACTAGCCTTGCTATGTACCTAATAATAAATGCTTTGCCTTGCTGTTCCTAGCTCTAGGAAGGTGAATGGCGACCTGAGCGACCTGCTGGAGGCGCCATAGCTAGTATCCTAGTATAATAGGATGTACCTCTGAAATGTAAGCCATCATATGATCTCTTGTAAAACTATCTTGCTACTATCTTTCTGGAATTCTCCTAAGAGCTCTTCCTCATCTCAAAAATCGGGAAAGGGTTTTCAGTATGCGGTTTTTCGTTCCGCAAACAGTAGGCGAAATGAATCCCCGTATGGTAAGTAAATGTGTACTCTATAGTTACCAATATTGGTTTAGTATGTAAAACGCTACTGTAAAACGATTTTGTATATGCTAAATTCATTTTTTTCCTCTGACTTGCTTGCAAATGTTCTCAGATTGTGCCAATCATCAGAAAAATGTGAAACTGCCGAGCAATGGTCATTTTTCGAGTTGGAGGCTGATGGTTTTTTATCGTTTATTCGGTGATATCTGGTGCACCGTTTTTCCCGACAGTTTATTATCGTGTGTGACGAGGAATTGCAGCAGATTGTCGAAGCCTCTTCTATTCATTTAAGACTACCCCCCTCGATCCCCGTTTATCTCTGTTTGAGCTAGTTCGCACAACTACGTAGCATGTGGCGCATGTTTGCGCGTTCCATGGTGAATTTGTGCAAGGATCGGCCTGTGCACAACATGTCACCGTTTCAACGTCTGGATGTTTTGTATATTTCTATTTCTTCGCACAGTTCCCTATTACATCCTATTCCCTAACCATAGGAACTTGTATGAGCTCTTTCGCACAACCACGCAGCACGTGGCGCATGTTTGTGCGTTCCATAGTGAATCTGTGCAAGGATAGGCCTGTGTGCAACATGTCAGCTCGCCAATGCCTGGATGCCATTTTTACCACTATTTATTCACACCGTTCCCTATTACATCCTATTCCCTAGCCATAGGAACTGGTTTAAGCTAGTTCGCACAATTACGCAGCACGTGGCGCATGTTTGTGCGTTCCATGGTGAATCTGTGTAAGGATAGGCCTGTACGCAACATGTCACCGTTTCAGCATCTGGAAGTTATTTCTACCTCTATTTCTTCGCACAGCTCCCTAGTACATCCTATTCCCTAGCCATAGGAACTAGTTTGAGCTAGTTCGCACAATTACGCAGCACGTGGCGCATGTTTGTGCGTTCCATGGTGAATCTGTGCAAGGATAGGCCTGTATGCAACATGTCACCGTTTCAACGTCTAGAAAATTTGTTTACCTCTATTTCTTCGCACAATTCCCTATTAGATTCTATTCCCTAGCCATAGGTATGAAAGAACGAGGAATGAATGCACTAGGAAACAGGTTGGTACAAGTAGGAAAACCTAAAAGTGTTGTACCCCATATTATCTACCCCACTACAGCCTACACAGACTATAGCATATAAGTTTGACACACCCCCATAGGCAAAGTGGTGGAGAACAAAAGGTCACAAGACCAGTCAAGCAAAGCACAGTAAGCTCAGGGTGGATCACAACGTCACCACACATTCTGAGCACAAGTTCAAGGCCACAAGGCCAGTTCACATGCAAGATTATATATAAAGGTAAACCAAGCAAGTGCAGGTATAGATAGATCACAGTACAAGCAAGGTCAAGAAGTGAGCAAGTGAGGCCAAGTAGGCACAAGACCTAGCATCGTACAAAAGCGCTGATGATCACAAGGCGGAAGTGCCTTGGTAAAGATATCAGCAGTGTTGGCCTGAGAGGCCACGTAAGCAAGGCGCAGCTGACCACGCTGCTGCAGCTCACGAGCAAGGAAGTAGCGAAGAGCAATGTGCTTCGTTCTGTGCTCCAGTCTGTGCTCCCGACACAAGGCCAGCATGGCCTTGTTGTCTACGTACAGAACTAGAGGAGAACGAGGCGGCTCTCCTAGGTCAGTCAGCAGGTAGGTGAGCCAGCGTAGCTCCTGTGCAGCCATGGCCCCCGCGTAGATCTCAGCCTCACAGCTGGAGCCGAGAACAGAAGACGAGCGGGTAGACCGCCACGAAACAGAGCCGGAACCAAGGCTGAAGGTGTAACCCTGTGACGACCGCTGCGTAGCCTGGTCGTCAGCCCAAGAAGCGTCTGCGTGACCTGTGAGGACCACTGAACGCCGCCCTCCAAGCACTAGCCCCATGCCCGACGTACTGCACAAGTAGCGCAACACCCTCTTCGCTGCAGCCATGTGCTCTGGTCGGTGTCTCCCAGGAGCAACATAGCGTGCCAAGATGCTAAGAGGGTATGCTAGGTCAGGTCGAGTGCAGGTCATCAGGTACATGAGGCAGCCAACAAGCTCTGGGTACGGGCCACTCGGCTCTACGGACTCATCCGAAGGCAGAGCTGAGAGCGAGTGGCGAGTAGACAGAGGAGTGGCCTAAGGCGAGGAGTACGTGAAGTCGAAGCGCTGAAGGACCTGCTGCACCATGTGTGACTGAGTCAAAGTAATGGTGCGCAGTGCTCTGTCCCGGGTGATCTGCAAGCCAAGGTAGCTGCGCAGTTCACCCAGGTCTGTGCACGTGTGTCTCTTCTGCTGCAGCTCGGACTTCACGTGGGCGAGTCCAGCAGTGTCAGCAGTGGCAAAGACCAAGTCGTCGACGTACACGAGGATGTAGAACGGCGGCAAAGAGGTGTCGGTGCGTAGAAACAGCGATGGGTCGGCAGTAGAAGGAGCAAACCCAAGAGCCGCAAGCGTAGTTCTTAGTATGTCGTGCCACTCACGGGGCACCTGGCGGAGACCGTAGACTGGCCGCCGGAGGCTCCACTGGGTACCAGGAGGAAACGACCCAGTGAAGCCAGGTGGGCGGCGCAGCCAGATCTCCTCGTGCAGGCTGCCCTGCAAGAAAGCTGTGCTGAAGTCAAGAGAGTGAGGCTCGTAGTCGCGTTGAGCGGCTATGTGCAGCAGCACCCGAAGAGTGGTCATCTTCGGGGTGGGAGAGAAGGTCTGAAAGTAGTCAACTCCCTGCCGCTGACTGAAGCCTCGAGCCACGTAACGCGCCTTGAAGACAGGCGGAGAACCCGGCGGCCGCTTCACCCTGAAAAT